TCTGCCTCCTCTACTGAGACTGGATGTGGGGGCCCCTCCCGCTCTAACCCTCCCTCTCTCTTTCTTGTGCATCACAATAGAGGGAACGGCTGAGGAACATCGAGCGCATCTGTTTCCTTCTGCGAAAGGTCAGTGTAAGAGCCGCGGCCAAGCAAGCTCAGGGCCTGCTCCTGTCCTTTCTCCCCAGGAGGGCAGTGGTGGCGGGGGAGGGGGAGGGGGAGCCTCCCGAGACAAGAGGCGCTAATTAAAAGGGGTGGCCGTCAATTAAAGTGGCAGGAACAGCACTGGATATCTGAAGTGCCCTCCGGTTGGATTCAGAGCTGCTTTTTCTTTGGGTAACCATGACAGGCACTTACAGCAGACGCTGCCTCTCAGCCTTTGTTCCTGTCTGGCGCCGGGCTCAGGGAAGTTTTTCACTGGCTGATGGGTTTCCTTCCTTTGAGGTTTCAGCCTGCCACTCAGCTTTGCAGTTTGATTGGCAGCCTCATGGGGGGTGTTATTAAAGGGGGAGACAGGCGTTCAGAGAGTTGCTCTGAATGGACTGGCAGAGGCCTGCAGCTGCCCTAAACGCATTCAGGAGCACATGAGTGCACACATATTCATGTGTGTGCATGCAGCTCAAGCCTGGTATTTAGCACAACTCTGTGACATAGCTGGGGGACCAGAGAGACCAGGAAAGTGTGTGTTTTTTGCAGCAAAGTCTAGAGAGCAGCAACTTGCAGATAAAATAAGCAGCCTCTAGCCTTGAGCCAAAGGATGTCCCTGACCTCTGTCCAGAGCAGGTGGGCTACAGGCCGCAGGAAAGCTGCCTGTCAACTCAGAAGAGGTTTTTGAGCCTTATGTAAATAGGAGAGAAACCAAATGCCAGGCCAACACCGATAGAAGGGAATGAATTTAGAAAGTTTTTGAAAGTTTTTCTATATTTTAGTATTGATATCGTTCATTGGGGGAGAGAACTTAAGAAGTTAATAAATTTTCTAGCTATTACTTGTCCTTTTAAACTCAGTATATTAACCCTGGCTGGTTTTGCTCAGTGGTTAGAGTGTCAGCCCGAGGACTGAAGGGTCCCGGGTTCATTCCGACCAAGGGCATGTACCTCGGTTGCAGGCTCGATCCCCAGCCCCAGTTGGGACGCATGCAGGAGGCAACCAATTGATGTATCTCTCTCACATCGATGTTTCTCTCCCTGTCTCTCCCCCTCCCTTCCCCTCTCCCTGAAAAGCAAAGGGAAAAACATCCTCAGCTGAGGATTAAAAAAAATTAAACCCAGTATGTTCGAGTTTCATGTCTTGTGTATCGTAGTGAGAATGAAAGTACACCTAGCGATCCAAGGACTGAAGAGTGATTAAGAAATAAGGCACAACATTTGGTATTAAGGGTAACTCATGAATTTGTAAATTCTCTCTCACATGACATCTTGGGCACCAATAGCCCGCTCCAGCTGTTACTTCCATGGTCTCCGTTTTGTCCTTTGACTCTAAGTGCCCTTCACCCTCCAAGTTGCTCGTTTCCCCCCACCCTGAGTGTACCCTCCCGAATTCTCTGGCAGAGTGTTAACCCACATCCGTCGCATTTTAGCCTCGCTCGTCTTTCTATATGGCTTGACCACTGCCTCCAGACAGTAGGCAACAGCGGCCCATGGCCGCCTCGGCCAAGGCCCTGCTGCCCACACGCTTGGACCTTTCAAAGTCAAAGCCAAGCATGTGCAAGTAACCGGGCCACGTGAGAATTAGCATTACCATTTGCAAATTTGCATAGAGTTTGCATAAGTTTTTGTAAACAGTAGGCTGAGGCATTCTGCTGTAGGGAACAGTGCTGCAAGTACCTTTTTTTCTGTTTTCTTCTCCCTTTTCATTTGCCCACGCTCCTTCCTCTGCTGCTTCTGTGACGTCAAACACCTTGCTGCTCATTGTAGTGGGAAATGCCAGGGAGGAAAGTTCAAGGTCGATGGAACACTAACTCAAGACTTCAGCTGTTACAGCTGTGCCTCACCACACGTGCTGCAGCCCGAGGGCCCTCTGGCTCCCGCGGGAGCTGGCCCGGGGCGGCGAGCACCCCTTGACCATCTGAAGGCGGCCGCAAGCCCCGTGCCTGCGGCTGTATTTCCCTGCGGCATCTCCCTCCCGCCCCAGCCCTCTTGCTGTGAGCACACCCATCTCTTCGCCACTCGGCCCTGTTAGCTCTTCCCCTCTGCGTCTCTGCGCCCTGGATCCCCAAGGCCACTCTCACTGACGTGAGCGTGATCTCTTTCTGAATGTAATTTTAAATCGTTGGCGTTTCTGATGGTCTGGCCAGTGAGGTCTTGTGTTTCAGCTTAACTTGGTAGCTCACAGACACATTGAGGGGATGCGGGTCTGCCTCTTTCCTTCCACTCGATGACTTGGTTCTTTTCACTGTCGTTTCTAGTGACACAGGAGGAAGAGCAGGGATAGCCTGTCGATGGTGCTCGATCAATATTTACCCAGTGAGTTAATAATGACCGAAGCTGGCTTCCTGGCCCGTCTGTAATCTACACCCTTGTTGGGAACACTAGGATCATCCATAATCTTTTCATTTCCTCCTTTCGGTAGTGTCCAAGGCACCGCACACAACTTTTATATTTTAGTACATTTACTACTTACATCAGCTTGTATTTTGCAGTCACACTGAACTGGACTGTGTTTGTTGTGGACACAGAAGGTCTGTAACCTCCAGTTTCTCCATCTCACCCCTTTCCTTTGTTATTGTCATGGTCGTGTCCCTTAGCTGCGGCCTGAAACTCCTAATCACGTCCCTGAGCACACACTTGGTGCCGAAGCAGGCCGGGCCATCCTCGGCTGCTGGCATTTCCCTTAGTGCTCCCTCCAGTCTCTTAGGTAAGTGTCACTGGGTGTTCGAGCAGAGTCACAGGCAGGATGGCCGAGCCCCCTCCCTCCTGGCTCTTTCATTCCGAATGGGCTTCTGAGTTCAGATCCCCAGCTGGGATTGCATGTTGGGGATGCTGTGGAGGGTTAATGGGTCTCGTAGCATCACCACCTTCTGGGAAGCGTACCTTCCAAGAAATTTATCTGAACTCGTTTCCCTAACACCCCAGAATGTGATGCATCTCGGCAGTTGACTGTCGTTAAACCACCTCCTCAGCCCTCTCTGGAGAAAGGAAGGGATTTGCACAGAGGATCCATTTTTAGCTCTGTAATTATCAGAAAACGTGTTCTTTGGATAATTGTCTGAACTGCAGGATTCTTGTGGTGACTTGTGCTTATGATTCATTTTTTCACGGCAAGAGTCACGCCACTTGCTTCTTGCGCGGCTGTTCCTGCGAGCGTGTCGTCAACTCTGGGGGTCGCTGGAAAGTACAGGTTGGAGAGCAGGCAGCCGGAAAGCAGAGGGTGGTTTGACGGCAGCTTCCAGGCACAGGAGACTGACCAGGGCCTCCTGTTGCATCTCCAAGCTCAGGAAATGGTTAGAGGAAATGAACTTAGGCGAAAGCCCGAGATTTGAATGAGAATGAAGAGGACATTTCCTTCTCAGCGGCAGTCATCACATCTTTGGATTGGTTGTTTTGGGGCCTATAAAATGTTCACCTCCCTTAGACCAGTGAGACAACCTCACGTCCAAGACGGTCTGGAGTTAGACTGAGCCTGCCTGAGAGGGGTACCTCGTTGCGTAGTTTGGGACAATTATGTGATAGTCCAGCCCACCCCGATTTCCCTGAGAGTGAGTCCTGTCCTACAGCCGGTCTCCTGACATTCGTGGGTATAAGAAGCTCTAGTCGGTGGATCACGGTCATTCTCTCCTCGAGCAGCACCAGTGCGAGGAGGAAGAAGAGGAAGAGTGGGTAGGGGTTGGGGTGGGGGTGGTTAGTTCACTGGGGAGGTGTAACCCGGCTGGTGGGAGGGGGCAGGTGCTCCAGGTTTAATTCGGAAAGAACACAGTGGTGACCAGGCCACAGATGTTACCACTCATGGCCACCTAGGCCCCTTATCAGAGCCCCCTCTGTCTTAGGGTAGGTGTCAGGGTCTGAAGTGAAGTCGAGTGGTGCGAAACCGGAATCCACTGCAGAAACTCCATGGCCTGGTTCTGAAAGCAGGGACTGCGTGTGACTTTGCAGTTCTTTTTGCTGGAAGTAATGTATATTTCCCTCCCCGCTGATGCTGGCGTCTGCCATGTGGTGGGATTTGTCTGCTGGAATGTGAGTGGGCTCATGAGTGTGGGGGGGGCCTGTAAGAGCCGCCGGGCGTTTCTGCTCTTCCTCTTGCACGTCTGACATGGACAAGGCCAACGTGCTGGTGCAGGGTCCATGAGAGGCAGGGGAATAGCCCTGAGCCACCTGTAGCTCAGAGCCCAGCCCACTAGGTCAAGTGACCCCCAGTCAACCTTTAGATGCACGAGCACGTGTAAATGAGTATTGCTTTGGGGCACTGAGTTTTGGAGTGATTTGTTAAGCAGCATTATTATGGCAATAGCTAACTGATGCTGTAAACATGAGGACTTTTATAAGGGAACTTTTATAAGATTTTACAGAAAATCTTTCTGTAAAAAAGTGATTTTATTCTGTGACAGAAATTAGCCAGTTGCTGACTCTACAAATTTACAAGTAGACAGTTTCAAACGCTGTCCCAATTTGTTCAACTTAAGAGGAGGCTACTAAATGAGTTTATCTACCAGAACCCAGAGAAAGACCCACATCGCTTTGGAGCACAATATTTGTCATGCAGATATTAAAATACTTGGAAAAAATGGTGAAGACGGTGCCTTGTCTCTAATTACTGGAACTCCCTGCCACAGGGATCGACTTGATTGCCAGTGATTTTATCTGTGAATGCAGTTCTTGCCGGGCTCTGGAGGGAATGGTGTCTGTTAATGGAGAGACAATAATGCAGTGGAAAGAGGCACATAAACTCCTAGGCGGTTGTTTGGAATGCCTCAGGGAGACCAGCCCTGACTCAGAAGTTGTCCAGATCAGAATTCTGTTTCTTGGGGGATTTCTAAGGGATAACAGTGGTCGTAGCTGCTTGCATTTCTTGAGTGACTACTATATGCCGTTAAAAGTATTAACTCTTTTCATCCTCACGACCCTGTGAAATAGCCCCACTTAACAGATGAGGAAATCAAGGCCGGGAGGTTAAGCATATATTCCCGGTCTCTT